AAATTCATTGCTAGACTGACAAACCTCAAAGGGAAAGGGGTTGGGGAGGGTGGGAAGAAATAAACCAAAGAACTTGTATGCATAACCAATGGACACAGACAATAGTGTGGGAAAAGCGGGGAGGTGGGCGGGATTGGGGAGGAGGGAGTCAATGGGGAAAAATGAGGAACATCTGTAATACATTCAACAATAAAGATTTAAAAAATACAAAAAAAAAAAAGACTGGAATTATAGCAGATCTACCTAATACATAGGAAAAACAAACAAACAAACACAAAGAGGCAGCCAAACAAACATGCCCCAAATGAAAGAACAAGAGAAAGCTCTGGAAAAAGAGTTAAATGAAATGGAGACAAGCAACTTACCAAATAGCAACAACAACAACAACAACAACAAAAGATTATAACAATACTGAAGGAACTTAGCAAGAACTACAAGGTACTTAGTGAGAAGTACAAGTGAAAAAGGACAAAGAAACCATAAAAATATTCAAAAATGAAAAATACAATATCTGAAATGAAGAATATAGTAGAAAAAATAAACAGTAGAGTGGATGTAGCAGAAAATGAATCAGGGATTTGGAAGACAAAGCAGCAGAACACACCAATCAAAGCCACAAAAAGGAACTCCTGAAACAACAGGAAGCATACCAACATCTGCATCAGAGGGTCACCCGAAGGAGAAAAAAGTGAGCAAGGGATCAAGAACCTATCTGAAGAAATAATGACTGAAAACTTCCATAACATGGTGAAGGAAATTGTCACACAAGTCCAGGAAGAGCAGAGAGTCTAAAACAAGATGAACTCAATGAGGCCCACACCAAAACACATCATAATTAAAATGTCGAAGGTTAAAGACAAAGAGAGAATCTTAAATGCAGCAAGAAAAAGATAGTTAAGTACAAGATTGTTCTCTTAAGACCGTGAGCTGATTTCTTAACAGAAACATTTTTATTTATTTATTTTTTAAATATTTTTTCTTGTGGGGGAGGAGGGTATCAATGGGAGAAAAAGGAGAAATATCTGTAACAAACATAAATTAATTAATTAAATTTTTTAAAAAAAGAAAAGACAGAGCCAGCAACTGCTTATCACAATGTTCTTCAGCCGCGCACCAAGACACCCACTGCCTGCTCCTAGTACTCCTTCAGCAGCAGAAGATGACGACGCATCTGCTGAAGATACTGCACCACCTGAAGACTCTCCTACTGAGGTCGTGCCTTCAGAGGAGCAGTAACCTTGCTCTTCTTTGCTGTGCAGTACATCTCTCCATCTTCATCATCGAACAAGTTGCACTGTTTTCATAGGTTAGTGGTTGTGTGTAAGAACTGTGTGTCTGTAATTAAATGTACAATAATAATAATATGATATTTATAACATCTGTCTTATTTTTTCTTATTTTGTCCAATACGTTGAATAATACGAGTGTAATGGTGACTAAAGCGTGTTATTTCATATCTAGAGGGCTCTAATAATGTTAAAAAATGTATTTAGAAGTTCGTAAACAGGTTTTCTATGCTCTAACTGCAAAAATATTCGATTTATAAATAAAGAATCCTACTTCGTGGAAATTCATTTCTCGCGGTAGAGTCTGGAACTAATTAACCACTATAAACAAGGCTGACTGTATTGAATTATTTGCTGTTTAAATAAATGACTGAAATTCGCTTAAAAAATATGTTTTTTCTTTATTGATTTTAGAGAGAGAGGGAAGGAGAGGGAGAGAGAGACAGAAACATCAATGAGAAAAACATCAATTTTAGATTAGAAGCGACTGCCATGAAATATTCAAAGTAATCAGAAGCAAGGTCCCTAAAATCAAGACTGTTTTACCCAGCAAGGCTATCATTTAAAATTGAAGAAGAAATAAAGAGCTTCCTAGACAAGAAAAAGCTAAAGGAGTTTGTTACCATCAAACCACTATAACAAGAAATATTAAAGGGTCTCCTTTAAGAACTAGGAAAAAAACAAGAGGGTTCAGTTCCCGCTAGGGGCACGTACCAAAAAAAAAAAAAAAAAAAAGAACAAAATGGCAATAAATATATACCTATCAATAATCACTTTAAATGTAAATTGATTATATGCTCCAATCAAAAAACACAAGTAGCTGAATAAGAAAACAATACCCATATATATGCTGTCTACAAGAGACTCACCACAGAATGAAAGATACACACAGACTAAAAGTAAATAGATGGAAAAAGATATTTTGTGGAAATGAAGACACACACACACACAAAAATGCTGGGGTACCAATACTTACATCTGACAAAATAGACTTTAAAACAAGGCTATAGTCAGAGACAAAGAAGGACACAACATAATGATAAAAGGAGCAATTCAACAAGAGGATATAACCCTTGCAAACATTTATGCACCCAATATAGGAGCACCTAAATATGTTAAGTAAATCTTGATAAACATAAAGGGAGAGACTGACAGCAATATAGTCTTAGTAGAGAATTTTAACAACCCATTGACATCAAATGGATAGAACTTCCAGAGAGATAATCAACAAGGAAATGATGTCCTTAAATGACACACTGGATCAGATGGATTTAATTGACATATTCAGAGCATTTCACCCTAAAGCAGCAGAATTGAAGTACACGTGGAACATTTTCTAGGATAGATCACAGGTTAGGACACAAAACAAGTCTCAGTAAATTTACAAAGACTAAAATCATATCAAGCATCTTCTCTGACCATATGGTATGAAACTAGAAATCAAGCACAAGAAAATAACTGGAAAAGATACACAGACATGGAGGCTAAATAACGAGATCAGGGAAGAAATAAAAAAATGCTCTGAAACAAATAAAAATTAAAACACAAGAACCTAAACTCTATGGAACACAGCAAAAACAGTCCTAAGAGGGAAATTCATAGCATTACAGGCCTATCTCAAGAAACAAGAAAAATCTCAAATAAACAATCTAACTTTACACTTAAAGAAACTTGAAAAAGAACAACAAACAAACCCTAAAGTGAACAGAAAGAAGAAAATAATAAAGATCAGAGTAGAAATAACCTGGCCAGTGTGGCTCCATGGATTGAGCACTGATCCATGGACTGAGAAGTCCCGGTTTGATTCCCAGTCAGGGCACATGCCTGGGTTGCGGGCTCGATCCCCAGTGGGGGGCATGCAGGATGCAGTCAATTGATGTTTCTCTCTCACAGTGACATTTCTATCTCTCTCTCCCTTCTTCTCTCTCTAAAAAAAATCAATAAAAACATATTAAAAATAAAAAACATCAGAGCAGAAATAAATGAAATAGAATCTAAGGAAACAATATAAAAAGATCCATAAAACCAAGAGCCGGTTCTTTGAAAAGATAAACAAGATTGACTAACCTTTAACCAGAGTCATCAAGAAAAAAAGAGAATCTAGATAAATAAAATCAGAAATAAAAGAGAAGTAACAACTGACACCAAAGAAACACAAAGGATTGTAAGAAAATATTACAAACAACTATATGTCAACAAATTGGACAATGTGTATGAAATGGGTAAATTCCTAGAAACATACACTCTTCCAAAACTGAATCAGGAAGAATCAGAGAATTTGAATAGACAGATTACAATGAGTCACACTGAAGCAGTAATAGAATAAAATAAACAAACAAACAAAAAACTCCCAACAAACAATACTCCTGGACCACATGTCTTCCCAGGAGAATTTTCCCAAATATTCAAAGAAGAACTGCACCTATCCTTCTCAAACCATTCCAAAAAATTCAAGAGGAGGTAAGACTCCCAAGCTCATTTCATGAGGCCAGCATTATTCTAATTCCAAAAATGGAGAAAGACACTACAGAGAAAGAAAATTATAGGCCAATATCCATAATAAACATAGATGCTAAACTCAACAAAATATTAGCAAACTGGATCCGGCAATACAATAAAAGATCATACAACATGATCAAGGGGTATTTATTCTGAGGATGCAAGGTTGATACAATATCCACAAATCAATAAAAATGATACATCACATAAACAAAATGAGGGATGAAAACCACATGATCTTATCACTAGATGCAGAAAAAGCATTTGATAAAACCCATCACCCATTTATGATAAAAACTCTCAGCAAAGTGGGATTAGAGAGAACATATATCAATGTAATAAAGGCCTTATATGACAAACCCACAGCTAATGTCATACTCCATGGGCAAAAACTACACGCGTTTCTCTTAAGACCAGAAACAAGACAGGGATGTCCGCTTTCACCACTCTTACTCAACATAGTACTGGATGTCCTAGTAATCAATGCTCTATATAAGTCAAATTTGAGTTTTATGTCTTAAACAGTAATACTGGAAGATTAAAAAATGAATATTAAACACAATTAGAACAACTGAACCAATTTTCTTCTTTAGTGAAAGAAATAATAGATCAATTATTTCTGGGGAAGTAGAAACATTAATGAAGGCTATATAAGAGTCGGCAATATATAATTCATCCCGACAGAATACAGTTAAAGGTTGATGTAACTTTTTAGTTGTTTCTCTCTCTCTCTCTTTTTTTTTTAATCCTTACCGGAGGACATTTTTTCATTTTTTGTTCAGACAGAGCGGGAGGGAGAGAGAGGAAGAGAGAGAGAAAGAAACATCGATGTGAAAGGGACATCGAGTGGCCACCACCCGCATGACCCAACCAGGGCCAGGGACAAACTGCAACCGAGGTACGTGCCCTTAGCGGGAACTGAACCCGGTGTCTCTGGACTACAGGTCGACGCTCTAACCGTTGAGCCAAACTGGCCAGGGCTGTTTCTCTTTTTTTAACTTTACCTGGATACTTTGGTTTTCTTCTTTCTCAAGTGGTTCTATACTCAAGTTTCAGGAAATTCAAGATAAGTGAAATTTTAAATAACATAATCAATTAACTCTATTAATATGTCATTTCCCCCTCCAATCAACTTAACTCTTTTTATAGTCCTGTATGCTCCCTATAAACTAAAACAAAACAAAACAAAATAAAAAAATAAAAGTTTATACTTACTAGAAAGAACAGTTGTAAGGAAAATATAATCTGAAAAAGATATGAGTCCACATTCTCCAAGGGTGTAAAATATACTGCCTTCATCAGCAAATTTTTCTCGTTCCTGGGCAATTTTCTATTAAATACATGGGTCCCACCAAAAGATAAAAAGAAGATACAGCAGAATGAGAACATAACAAGTTAAAGATGAATCACCATTTATATGACAGTTTTATGATATTTATCATAAGCATTTCTCTGATGGTCATTCCAAACTAATGGATCCTTTACAGTTTTCAAGATAATTAAAATGATAAGACAAAAGATAATTTTGTTTCAACACTGGCTTATTATGAACACTGGAAAATAATTTCAATTTTACAAACTCTTGCTATTTAATATATATAGACCCACTTCAGGGCTAGTTTTGTTTTTCAGTTTTAAAAACAATCTACCTTATTCTATAGAAGTATATAAAGTAGAAAAAAATCAAAACAAATAAAAAAGCTGAAATAAAGTCAGTTCCAACTGACCAAGAAAACTGTATTACTAGTAATTAGAAATAAAGAGGTAAGCAACTATTTCCAAGGACCACATAAATAAATGCTCAGAAAACTAACTTCTGAAATACTAATTTTAATTGTTTCTTATGACCCCCAAGAATCTTAGTTTTGGAACACAGATCAGCTTGCAGAGTAAAGAGCATCTCTAAAATATAATGGAAAAATCAGACATGCATGCCAAGCCTTACACATGGTTTTAATTATATTTACTATTACCTTGGTGAAAGCTCCTAAATTTCGGCTCTTTGATGAAACTCTCTTAAAAGTCAGCTTTTACTCTAAGTATACATTCCTTTTCTTTATAAAGCTCACAAGAGAGTTAATTATCAGCTTCAGTAATGGTCCGTCAGGCAAGTGGTTTCTTCCTGGGTGTTTAATCAAAACTACCCCGTTTTCTGAATTCCTAGCTGAATTATAAACTTATTGGTGACATTGAAGATATTTTAAAAAACTGAAAAGGATCCACTAAAGTGTTAGACTTAAAACTAATTTCTGTTAAGTTCTGGGGCAACCAAAGATATTTGAGGAATTATTCTGGGTACCAAAAAAAGAAATATGAAGTTTCAAGAACCCAAAGCAACAAAGCATGACTACAGTAATAATATCATGCAAGCACAAATTAATAAGCAGCATCGCAAACATAACCTTAGGAGAAATATCATGAAAACTAAACCAACAAGCACCACCAGCATCCAGGTACACACTATCCAATAGGTTACCTCTGTCTAGTGAAGATCCCATCATACACCACAAAGGAAAGAAAACTAGTTAACCAATTGAAAACACAAATACCAAGTGAATTATCATGATCTTCTTAGTAAACCCACTGATAGCCTTTACTGAATATTTGTTCATTCATATGAAATAGTAACCAGAGAAAGGTAAAAATCCATAGTTGAATGTCAACAAAGCAGTACTGGGTTTTGATGGCAGATTCTACTTAGGAAAGGGTTTCTCTGACGCATTTATGATGGACAGAAAGCATGGTCCTGGCTTGACAGCATTTAGAGATTTCTTTGAGCCGACAACAAAAATGAGCTCAGCCCAATATGTTCAAATTAATGTTGGACCTCATACCACACCGGATCTTCTACCAAGAGATTAAACACAGATTTCAGTAAAAACAAAACAAAACACTGTTGGATGAAAATAGGAGCAGCTAAGCCTTTCACTGGGAAGGTAATATTTTAATTTCTCAAAATAAAAGAAGTAAATAGTTACATGTTTTACATTATCCAAGATACTGCAAAAGTAAAGCATGTGAATAAAATACGCAAAATGAGAATCAGCTTCAAAAGGCATACCATCACTAGCCAGAACAATAAATGTGTACAGAAGCTGAGCATCATGTAATAATCTTATGGAGAGAATGGTATAAGCAAACAAAAATAATTTATTGGGATCCAGAAGTTGAAAAACAGACAAAAATCTAAGGACAGTGGCAGCTAAGCAAAGAAGCATATCTAACATTATTTTTCCTAATAATCATCTGGAGGATGTTGCAGCTTAGAAGATAACAAAAAGACAAATCTAGTTTTGTTGGTAACTTTTAATTTTGATACATTTTTCAACTCAGAAAAATGAAAAGATCCATATACTTTTTACTCAGATTCACCAATAGTTTACACATTACCCTATTTGTATTATCATTTTATAAAGATATATATTTTCTTTTGCACTATTTTGAAAATTGGAGACATTTTACACTTTACACTTAAATATTTAAGTATATATTTTCTATAAAGACATTCTCTTACATATCACAGTACAAATTTAATAAAACCAGGATGCTTAACATACTTAATACTAATGCATACTATTATCTAATCCACAGTCTAATCCATGTTGTAGCATCAATCAGTATTCCTTTTTATTGCCAAATAATATTCTATTGCATATATTACCACATTTGTTTACCCATTCATCTAATGAAGGATATTTGGATTGTTTCCACCTAGGGCTACAATGTACAGTTACGTACAGATATTTGACTATCTGCTTTCAATTATTATTAGAAATGAATTTTGCACTCCCAGACAGGCTAGATGACATTTCACTGCAACCTCATGAAAACACCTGGGCCAGAACCACCTAGCCAAATTGCTCCCAAATTCCTTATTCACAGAAGGCACAAAAGACAAGAAACAATTACTGTTGTTTTAAGCCACTAAGCTTCAAATTTGTTACTCAACAATTAAAAACAAATACAGCTAAATATATTTATTAAAAATATTTCTGCTAATCTGTGGCTTATAACTTCTATTTTGACAATCAAGCTTAAAATTTTCATAAAGTCTAATTTATCAAGTTTTTCCTTTATGATTATTGCTTTCTATATGCTGTCCAATAAATTTCTGCCGATCTCTTGTCCATAAAAATACTCTCTTATATATTTTTTTGAAGCCTTATAGTTATAGATTTTACATTTAGGTCTGTGATCCATTTCAAGTCAATTTTGGGTATAGTGACATTACAAGGTAAGGATTATTATTTTTTTTAATATGGACATGCAGTTGCTTCTAAACGATTTGTTAAAAGCAAATTGACTATATAAGTATGGAATTACTCTTCTATATTTTCTGATTTGAGTAGCCCATTTTCTTTGGAAGGTCTTTTGATAACCAGCAAAGTGTATGTTTGTTTTTCAAAGTATAAATAAACATTGAATTATTTAAATGGTTTCTAAAAAGGCAGCTCAAGAAACTCTGCATGAGATCCATTTGGGGTCATGATTTAGGCTTAGCCACCCCCACCATTAAGACAATTATGAAGTCACTGAGCAGATCTTCAACTGTATATTAACTGAGATTTACTATTGGACATACCTCCACAGAAGCTATGTTATGACATTTTACAATGTTAATTAGTGACTTTCTACAGGAAGGCATCCCTCTTCTACTTCATGGGATATGTCTATATTTGCAACCTTCAGTCCTCTAACGGAGAAAAGATCTCTGTTTGTGTGGCTATACATGAGACCTCTGCTGTACTGAGTAGAATGACAGGGAGCAAGAGAAGGTCCCCCTACCCCCAAAAAATAAGCCAAATTGTTATACAAAAGAAAATACTGAAGATACCTAGAAGGAAAGAAATAGATGAAAAAAGGACCCTAGAAAAGTGAACAAAAATGGAGGAGCCCTGATCAGAGAGGAATAGAAAGTATCAAAATTGGGAAAAACTGAGGAAAGAGAAAGCATGTGTGTGTACGTGTCCACTTTTGAAAGAACAGAAAATGTGTGTGTTTTGCAGAAGCTCCTTAAAAATCAGAAAGATGTTTAAAGAGGACTTTAAAATTAGCCATGCTTTGTGATGTGTCCTGTGCAGTAAAATCTTCCAATTCGTTAAAGGTCTACATTATTCTCTCATGCTACTGGGGTATAAGGAAAGAGGGAAAAAAGGTACATGTATGCTTTCTAAAGTATCTACTTGTCAAAGAGTGTCAGGTATATTTAGATTTATACAGGGGTGGGCAAAAGTAGGTTAATAATAATTATAAAAATATAATAATTAATAAATGATATACAAATACACTCTGTGATTTGCATATTCACAACTACAAACCTCATTTTGCCATCCTCTGTACATCTAATTTGTTAACTCTAAGAATTTATAAGTTGTTGAGTATCCGAAACTCCAAAGATGATTCTTATAAAATTCATGACATATATTAATTACAAACACCAAAATTGTCATAAAACCATCAAATTTGATCCCTTAAATTATTTAAAGCTAGAAGGAGAATCAAACAAATACGTCAAAATTTGGGAGGAAATAGGAGCAACGTGAAAACCAATTTTTAGACTATTTTGTGTTAAATGGCTGCTTCTTAGCTGGTCTCTTAAAATCAAAGGCTGGCTGTACCATAAATTATACCCAAAGATCTCTAGCCATGACACAGAGGGGATCTGTAAAAAAAAACAACAACAAGAAAAAAACACTACTATTTGAGTTTGATAATGAATACAAGTTTTAAAGCTCTGAAGTATGGTAAAATGAAAAATCAAGATTCAAGGACAAAAAAGTATAGGGAAGGTTTTGGGTTTTTCTTACTCCAAGGTCTCATCAATGTTTAACTGCAAATTGAGAATGTTAAATAAAAAGTTTCTTCACTTAATCTTTTGAATAGTGTTTAATCTTTGACTAAATTTTTTTTATTTAATTAAACTTAATTTTATTAAGGTTATATATGTATACAAACAAATCACATACACACAAAAAATTACTGTATTAAATTGGGATCTCTCTCTTTTTTTTTTAATCAGAAGTGTGAGTTTATTGATTTTTGTTACAGATGTTTCTCCTTTTCACCCCACTGATTCCCCCCCTCTGCCTTCTTCCCTGCCCTGTCCCCGGTTTATTGTCCATGTCCACTGTTCACGCATACATGCATATAAGTTCTGTGGTTTATCTCTCCCCCATCATTGCCTCTTCTGGGGATTGTCAGTCTGTACCCCACATCCACGTCTCTGGGACTACCCCACTCCTCAGACTATTATGTTCATTATATTCCACAAATAAGTGAGATCATATGATACTTGTCTTTCTCTGTTTGCCTTGTTTCACTTAGGATGAT